ATTAAAATTTGTTTTGCTTAAAAACTAAGATTGATGAGAACTAGAAAATAAAGATCTGAGTCCTGCCGATTTTGCTTCTGTGTGTGCCGATAAACCCCACCTCATGCCCTCCAGCACCGGTGTTGAATTTTCAGGTGTGTGCCCTGAAGGACACGGAACATCTTGCCTGTTAGCCACGATTGCAAGGGGGTTGACTCTGTTTCTCAATCCACTTATTTATTCCACTGCTGCACTATCACAATTGTCCTAATTACAGGGGCTAGAGAGATCGCTCAGTAGTTAAGAGAGCACTTAGTGCTCTTCCAGAGGACCCACCTGGAGGCTCACAACCATCTGCAGCTCCAGTTCTGGGGGATCTAATGCCCTCTTCCGGTTTCTGCAGGCATCAAGAATGCATGTGGTGCAGACGAACATCCATATATAGAAAATAAATACATTTTTATAGTATCATAGTATTATGTCGATAAGTTGGACAAGCACTCCTCTGTGTTCTTACTTCCAGAAAAGCCTGACTTATGAATTGTCTTTGTTTTTGTTGTTGTTGTTTTGTTTTGTTTTGTTTTCATTTGGTTGGTTTTTCCATTAATTTATTTAATTATTCACCTTACATCCCAATCAAAGCCACCCCTCATCTCTCAGTCCCCCCATATACACACTTCCTTCCCCCTCTCCTCTGAGAGGAGGGGGGAGGTGCCCCAAGCTCCCAACCCACCTTGGCACATCAAGTCACTGTAGGACTAAACACATCCTCTCCCAGTGAGGCCAGACAAGGCAGCCCAGTTATGGGAACAGAATATTCCACAGACAGGCAACAGAGTCAGGAGCAGCCCATCTCCAGTTGTTGGAGGACCTGCATGAAGTCTAATCTACACATTCTTTTGTCTTCTAAGAGGCTCCACACAGCAGCTGAATGAAACAGATACAGAGACCCACAGTCAAGTATTAGAGCTCAGGGAGTCTTGTGGAAGAGTTGGGGGAAGAGTTGAGGGAACCCGAAGGGATACAGACTCCACAAGAAGACCAACAGAGTCAACTAGCCTGAATCCTTGGGGATACCCAGAGACTGAACCACCAACCAAAGAATATACATGAGCTAGACATAGTGCCCTGCACATATGTAGCCAATATTTGTTTATTTTTAATGAATCCTTTGTTAAGTTCTGAGAGTGGCATAACTAATAGTTTTATCACACACACTGAGTTTATAAAAATAATCTTATGGCAACTAACATGTAAAAGACTTCTAATGCTACTGCCTGAGAAAATAACCAGTCCCAGTGCAGGCCCTGTGTTTCTGTAGACTTGTATACTTCCCATCAAATGCATGTATACGTTTTAGATACAGTGCTTTTTAAAAGTTTGCTGTCGCCGGGCAGTGGTGGCGCGCGCCTTTAATCTCAGCACTTGGGAGGCAGAGACAGGTGGATTTCTGAGTTCGAGGCCAGCCTGGTCTACAGAGTGAGTTCCAAGACAGCCAGGGCTACACAGAGAAGCCCTGTCTCAAAAACAAAGAAACAAACAAAAGTTTGCTGTCTTAGTTATGCCTTTCAAATTATATTCTGATGATTGGTCCTAGAGTCTTGGAAATAAACGGGTTCTGCAAGATTGGTTCTTGAGCTGTCTGTGATGAAGCATCACCTCAGCCTTTCAAATTTGTCTGTAGGAAGTACCATAGCAGTCAGGAAGCACGTGCTCCCCTTCTCATAGTACTCACCGTTCCTTATACACTTGAATCGGCTGCCTAGGAAATCAATAATTTTAAATGTTGCATGTAAAAGACCTTATGGCCCTCTCCTTGTTGATAATAGGACTGACTATGTATAAAAGTCACCAGCTTAACGAATATGTATGCCTGCCTCGTATATGCTACACATTGCCACAACAATGCAAAGAAAGGCAGGGGGGGAAAACGTTCCTGTCCTCAGGGAAAGTTACTCTCTAGTTGGTTAGAAAGATGTGTAAACCTTGTAGGGATCCATTGATGTTTGTGCACTAGAGAGGAAGTGTAACGGAAAAAGGACAGTTCATGACAGAAGCAGAATGAGTTGTCACTGTAAATAAAACAGGTATGGAATGTTCCATGGAGAATGTAGCTTTTGAGTCAAGGCATGCGATGGGACAAGTACAAAGGCTCGGACCCACCTGTGGGCACCACACCCGATATTGCTAAGGAGTAGCCAGGGCAGCTGCTGTGATTGGCTCAGAGTGCATCCTCCTTGTCACGTGATGAGAGAGCCCTGCTGCTTTCAGAGAAACCACGGAGGCAAGAACCCCAGCTCCACTCTTGAGTATGAGAAGCTGCTGGGAGATTTTTGAGCAGGATTAGACAGAAGGCTCTTTGCGGAGATGCTTGGGCTCTGTTTTAAAAGACAAACCAGCTACTGTGTTAGGGGTAAATGAGATGGACCGGGAAGGAGCTGGGAGATAGAGCCAGAGGGAGCCGAGAGGATGGTGATTAACCGGTCTCACACTTGAGGACCCGCTGATGTGGAATCTGGATAGAACAGAGGGCCTCCGGGGCCATGGAGAGCGTTGGCCTGTATCTTTAGAAGGATGGGTAGGCCATTTTCACTTACTGAGATTAAGAAAACTGAGAGATATAAAGTTTTGGGGAAAGATAATAGCCAGATTACGACGTATGCTGCATTTGAGGTGTCACGTTGAGAAGGTGTCACCGTGAGGTGATGCTAAATAGGCTGAATTGCAGGTCCTAGATTCTGAAAGAAAAAAATCTCAATTGGGTAGCATAATTTAAGGGGTTTTTTTATATGGAAACCTACTGGATTTACTTTTTAAGGAATCGATGATTTCGGGGGGGGGGGAAGTAAGAGAATTATTCTAAGGATCGATCACGATGACAATTCTCATTTTGCGGGTAAAGGAGACGGTTCGAGAACACCAATGGTGTCCTGGAAGAGACACCTGACATAGAAAGACAGCGGGGTGAGGGCTGTACCCAGGAAAGCAAGCAAGAACAGTACTTCCAAGAGGTGTTTGTCTTCCTCACTGTGGGCTGCTGTAACAAATGTCCTTTGACTAGGGGCAGGGGGGTGGTGTTATAAACCAGGGAAGTGGTTTCATTGGCTGGGAATCTGAGTCCTGGGTCTAGCATGGCCAGATTCTGATGAACTGTTTGTTGGCTTCTCCCAGTAGCCTCACATGGAAGAAGGTGGGAAAGTATCCTGGGGTCCGTTATATGAAGATAGTAGTTTCATTCCCATGGACTCCGTCTGCTTTACTCAGTTACCTCTGAAGCCTTACCTTTTAGTACCATTGAGGTAGACACAAGGAGTTCCATTTATGGATTTAAAGATGATAAGTTCAGCCCACTCTAATGCTGGATGCAACTGTTAGGTCTACTGTGTCTTAACTTTATATATATGTATATATATATATATATAATTTATTTTTTCAAATTGTAATTTATACTCATTCACACAGGGGTTATAAACACAAAAAGGCAGGACGTGGTCTTAACTTATTCTATCACATTATCAAAGGATGCCCGGAGCCCAGCAATGTATAAAGAAAAGTGTGCTGTGGGCCTTGCTGTTCTAGAGGCTGGGGAATTAGACGTTAGGGCCCAACATCTGCTTAGTGTCTGATGCAGGCCACATGCTAACTCAATACAGGGCAAGGATACGGATGTGAAGGAGTGGACTCAGGGAAAGCAGACGTAAGGTATACCACTCTCATGGCTTTCTCTTAGCTAGATCAGTCTCACTGGAAGTAAATTAACACTTCCACAAGAGTGGATCCATCATGAGCCAATCACTAGTCAGGGTTTTTACTACCCACTGCCGTTATCACACCTCGAGGAGTTAAGCTTCAGTATGAGCTTTACTGAGAGAATCTGGCATGCAACTCCTTGTTCAGTAAACAAAGGGGGAAAATGACTCCTGCATTAAAAAACAAAAAAACTTGGGGACATTGGGATATCTACAAAATCAATTTCAAGGGAAAGACAGTGTCCCCTTTTCCTGATTGATGTAGTCTTAAATTTAATTCTGAGTCTTCCTAAACACAGAAACTTGGGCACTTCCCATAGCTAGTCCTTAAGTCTGGTGTCCTGTTTGATCAATTTCAATGTGGAACTGTTAGCATCTTGTGACTCCCTCCCTTTCATTTTATTTCTGACTAGAGTCCAGCAATATAGCTTATTACTACGACACCGAGTAACACACTTGAGTGAATCGGTCAGAAATAATCCGCACTCCTGAAGTTGTGTTTAGCTGAATATAAAATTGTGGAGTGTCATACTCTCAGCATATGGAAAACATTATTTTCCTCCCTGTTACTGTGCCTGTTAACAGCCTACTGTCAATCAAAATCATATCTCTGTGCTATTAATTCTATATCCCCCTTAGCTTTATAAATTGTGTGTTAATAGAATATGTGCAAGCGTGAGCTTAGTTTTATTTATCCTGCTCAGAAGCATGTGCAGTGTTCTTTCACTTTAAGCCTTTGTTTTGCTTCCTTCTGAGAAGTTCCTACCAACTCCCCTTAAAAATATCACTTCCCTGACAACCTGTTACTTCTATTCTTAGGCTAAAAATATTTTTGAGTGTGTGCTGGGGCCTCTCTGTTTCCCCTCCACTTGGGCCCATTTGCTTACACTTTAATTTGTTGCTTCTATCTCTACTGCATTCTCTATATCTTCCTTGACACTATGACTTAATTCTTGTAGATTTTTTTAAAATATTATTTTAGATTTATTTATTTTATGTGCCTGGGTGTTTTGACTGCTTGTAAGTATGTGTACCATCTGCATGCAATGCCTTCAGGGGCCAGAAGAGGGCATCAGATATCTTCTGGGCTCGTGAGTCCCCTGAGAGTACTGGGAATTGATCTGGGTCCTCTGCAAGAGGAGCCAGTGGTCCTAACCAACCACTGAGCATGCTTTGGGTTTTCCATTTCTGATTCATTGTGTCTAATACTGTTTCCCTTGGCTTGCCTTTACCAAGGCTTTTCATGCCTTAATATTTTCTGTTTTCCCTCAGCCAGTTGGGTTCTGAAGCAGCTGACATGAGAAAACGGCAGCAGTCACAAAATGAAGGAACACAGGCTGTGTCTCAAGCGCCTGGAAACCAAAGGCCCAACAATACCTGCTGCTTCTGCTGGTGCTGCTGCTGCAGCTGCTCCTGGTAGGTTCATACTAGATCCAATATAAGCATGTGTGCCAAACCTTCATCCCACAGAAAGTTTTCAACCTGTTCTGCTTGCCCACGGTGCATGTAGGAATAACTGTAGACCATCACTGATGTAAGACATACATCCCCAAAAGCAAAATTAACTTCCTCAGAACATATATTTAAAATGATAGCAAGGTAAAGAATGGAAAATTGTTTCATGTCATGTTTTCTACTATGCATGGTTATTATGGCTATGGGTAAAAATAAGATTATAATTTTAGGATTATCTATCTATAAACAACAGTGTCATGATGGTTCAAGAACTAGAAATATTAAAGAAATATCCAATAGTAATATACATAGTGTTAACTGTGGTGGGGATTTTTTTAAGATTTATTTCTTTTATGTTTATGAGTACACTGGTGTCGCTGTCTTCAGACATACCCAAAAGAGGGCATCAGATCTCATTACAGATGGTTGTGAGCTACTATGTGGTTGCTGGGAATTGAACTCAGGACCTCTGGAAGAGCAGTCAGTGCTCTTAACCACTGAGCCATCTCTCCAGCCTGTGGTGGAGATTTTTTGTTTTTATTTTTTTCATCACATGCATCCTCATAGGGATTGGTCATTCAGTTATATAGTCAGAGCACTGTGAGTCAGAGTGGTAGCCCCAGCCATAGCACTCTTGCCAACAAAGCCATGGAGTGAAGAGGGAGGGACTCTGACTGCCAGTCTGAAAGGTCAGACACTGTGCTTGGAAGGAAGATCAAGTTGGTCAATTAAAATCTCTGGAATTGGAGCCAATGGGTCTGATTTTTGCTGCAGATGACCACTGACAAGCTGCAAGATGTCTGTTTATTCTTTTGCTTCCTCGATCCGTAATGAGAAAGACAAGCTGGTCACCAAGGTCCTACCTAACGCTAAGTCTCCATGATGCAGGTCTCTTTCCAGGCCCAGATTCCCTAAGTGTACTTCACAGGACACTCAGTCAATTCGAAATCATAAGAGTTACATTAATGTGATATCTCAAGATGAGACTAGACTTACTGGAACTTTGCATTGAGCCCTAAGTTTGGGGATCTTCCAAACCCAACTTTATAAGTAGAAGTTTTAGCACAGCAGTGACAACTGGGTCTCCCTGGTCTATTTCAAAATCTGACAAAAGGTCCAAGTGGCTGAGTTGTCTTTTACGTGGCTTCCACAGTTTTCCAGTGTCCCTTCAGTTTGTCTTTTGATATGGTCCAGCCTCGCTGTTGCCAGGGTAGAGAATAGAATGTCGTTATAGCATGTTGGTGGTTTCCCTTGATGTAAAAGCTGCAGCCCAGAAAACTGCAGGCTCAGAAAACCTCCAGATATCAAGAAAGCTCAGAACGGTTGTTTTTGTTAAGTATAAAATTTGCTTTCTGAATGATGAGTCTCTGCTAGGGAAAGTCACACATGATTAATTTGAAATTTTAACTTCAGATGGAGGAAGGAAAACTCTAGGTGAGGTTGCAGTTTCTGTCGTAGTTGTATATGTTTTGTTTCTTGTGTACACTACAGAGATTGTTAAGCACAAGTCTTAACCCATGAAGAACTTAATGAGACAGGATAGGAGTTCTTAAATCAGACTGCCAGAGATCATGCTGTGTCCTTATCTGTTGCCAACTGTGTGGCCAATAGCAAATTAGTTCATCTTTCTGGTCCTCACAACCCTTATCTGTCAGATAACTAATGTGAACCCATATCTCATAAAGCTATAAAATTAAATGAGATGCTACGTGTGGTGCGCTAAGGGGAGCATATGACAGAGAGTGAGCATTTAATGTGATTTTTCTCCCCCAGGCAATGGAAAATTGCAAACGGGGATAATAAAATATGTTCAGAGAGTGTAGTGCAAAATCTAAAAACCAGCATGTGGGGCCAGCAAGATAGCTCAGCAGGCAAAAGGACTTGCCATGTGACCCTGGAACCAACATGGGGGAAAAGAGCAAAGCAACCATGGAAAGTTGACACTCCTGCCCTAGCACACTCAGGCCTGCACACACACACACACACACACACACATGTGCACTCATGTCTACAGTTGTGATTTGAAAGGTGTGTTTCTATTTCTCATGTTCACTTTGCCCCGAGATTAATTATCATTTTTTTAACCTGGCAAACTTAGTTTTGTTTTGCTTTTTTTTTTTAACTTATTTTTATGTGCGTGGATATTTTGGCTGCATGTACGTCTATGCATCATGTGCCTCCCTAGTACCCAGAAAGACCAGGAGACCGTGTCAGACCCCCAGGGTCTTGAGTTACAGATGGTTGTGAGCTGTCATGTGGGTGCTGGGAATCGAACCAAGCTCATCCAGAGGAGCAGCCAGGGCTCGTAAACCACCAGGTCACCTCTCCAGCACCCCTCCCCCCAGTTCTTCATTATTTTCAAAATTGAAACACTGTACAATAATCTTGAAGTTGGGCTTCACTCTGTTAGATGTCTAATAAGCACAGACATGTGTCATTTTAACAAGAGGGATATATTCTGAACACTATAATGAGGGCCATTTCTTCCTTGATGTTGCTTTATATGCTAGACCTAAACAAACCAAAATGGTGCATGCCAATCACTCCATGTGGCTCTTGGAGGACTCAGGAAACAAGAGATGGATGCTTCAAGGATAGTTCCTGGTATTGTTTATATGAGCGATATTCTTTTTTATTTTATCTAATTATGTGTTTTGTCTGTGTGTACATCTACCACATGCACGCAGTACCTGCAGAAGCCATAAGAGGGCACCAGATCCCCTTGAATTCGAGTTATAGTGAGGCCCTATGTGGGAGCTGGGAAATGAACACGGATCCCTCCAAAGAACACCCAGTGCTCCTCACTGCTGAGCCACCTCTCTCTCCAGTCCCATGACATTATATGCATTAGTGTACTCCACTAATAAAAAGTACAATTTAGTCAATACCAAAATTGATAACAACATGGTGGGTTATTCATTAGGAAGTATGTTCCATGTGCTGTGACCTCCAGGACAGGTGGTTGTCTGCACTGGGATCATCACAGATGAATGAGTAGTGTGTTGCACCACAACACAACAGTGGTTATGATGTCACTAAGAGAGTGACCTTTAAGCTCCGTTATAATCACGGACCACTGTTACCTACGGTCTTACCCTGACTGAATCATTTAGTATGTAACTATTCACCATGAGATTTGATGACATTGCCATATAGATATCTATGTGACCAAACGTATCGGATAATCAAACACTTCAACTCATTTGTAAGCATCAAATCGCCACAAAGCACAGACTAAGGATCAAGGGCAACGTAGCTTTGAAAAGCTGCATCAGCCAGGGACAATATTTTAGGCACCCCCAAAGACATGATGGCTTGCCTGGGTGTTCTACCGTAGTCAGCAATGGATCATCACTGCCTATGCCTAGGACTTAAAATTATACTCTATCCATTTACAAGTCATGTAAGACACATGACAGGTAGTTTCTCTTTCTACATGAAATTTTTATCGTTTGTACTCATTGTACATAGTGATAGATTCCATGGAGACCTTTCTGTCTGGGTGTACCATATGCCTTGACTGTCTTCACCTCTCACTTTCCCAGCTCTCCCTACCCCTTATCATAATCACCCCTCCAGATGTAAACCATTTGGTTTTTCAGAAAGCACAAAAATCCAATTGCCTTGAGCTACAGAGTTTAATTATAAAATTATTTACATAATTGCAGATGAGAATATCATTTCTTTACATGTTACGTTTTTTAAATTTTTATTATCTTTGCACTTTGAATTTCAGAAAGAACATTGTGAGGGCTCTTTTTTTACGTGAGAAACTTTAGAAAAGAAAAGGAAGAAAGAGAGAGAGAGAGAGAGAGAGAGAGAGAGAGAGAGAGAGAGAGAGAAAGAAAAGGAAAAATGTTCTTTAAAATTCCCAGGCAAGGTCAAAGGAGCAGAACAAAAAGCACTATGGGAAAAAATGTGATTTAGAGCCTAAAAAGTGTTAGGAATCAAAACTTGAAACAAGTGTCACCATGGATAGGGACCGTTGTCCTGTAGCTGGTTTCGCTTCCTTTTAAGGAAATAAAGCACTGCAAAAAAATAAATGCCTATGTCTAGGAATAAATGTAAACACTCTACTGTAGAGAAAAAAAAAACTTCACAACACGGACTTTTAAAATGATGTAGTGTTTCTTTCAAGCTTGCAGGCCTCATCATGCTTCACTGACAGACTGTCTCTCGGTTTTTAACTTACCCCTCCTTGTGAAATTAGCAGCATTGCACTGTGGAGATCAGTGTAGCGTGCATACCTGCTGGGTATCACTACAGCTTCCCCCAAGTCCAGAGCGTGGCATATTCATAACGACCACGATGAACTGTCTGTCTCCTGTGAAAGAGCCACTTTCTTCCTTAATGAAGTCTCTTTCTTTTGTGCCCTTGTGGCCTCCATTTCAAGAAGGAATGACAAGAAAAGGAGGTTTATATCCTTCAACTGTCTTATAAATGGACCACAAATGCCCTAAGTGCAGTGAACAAAATCTGTAAGAGAACTGAGCCTTTTCTGCAAGAAAAAAAGGCAGGGCGGGAACATTGAGAGAACCACTCATCTGAAGGGGTTAGAGGTTGGCCATAACTTACTCTTTCAGCTAGAATGATTTTCTTTTCTTAACTGAGGAATACTTTTAAACAGCCTGCAGGTTCCTCACCACTGGCTGTCAGCAGAGTATGAAGTACAGAAGTTGCTGAGAAACTTGCACCCAAGACGGCATCTGTAAAAGTGCATTGTAGACTAGAAACTTCTGTGCTTGGCCACATAGGGGGCACGAAGAAGGTCACAGAGTAAAGCTTTCAAATATTTCTCTGACCTTAAAGCTAAGGTCCAAATGTCCCATGAAACCTCTCTCACGATAGCACAGGTTTCATTAAAATAATTCAGGCTAACTAACCAAAGAGCATACATGGTGAGCTCGACAGAGGCCCATATGCAGCATATGTGCATATGTACATGTGCAGATGTCCATGAG